CCTCCTTCCCCCTCCCTTGGCCTTTGCCAAGCTTTTGTCCATGTCCATGGGGTATGTGTATATGCTCTTTAGCTAATCCCTTCACCTTCTTTATCCAGTCACCCACACCTTCCTCTCAGGCACCAGCTAATCTGTTCCATGCATACACATTTCCAGTTCCATTTTGTTCATCAGATTATTTTGTTCATTAGATTCCACATATTAGTGAGATCATATGGTACTTTTCTTTCTCTGACTTGCCTATTTCACTTATCATAATAGTCTCCAGGTGCCTCCATGCTGTATCAAAGGGTAAGGGATCCTTCTTTTTTACAGCTGCATAGTATTCCATCGTGTAAATGTACCACAGCTTTTTTATCCACTCATCTGCTGATGGGCACTTGGGCTATTTCCAGATCTTAGCAATTGTAAATAATGCTGCTATAAATATAGGGGTGAATATATTCTTTCTCATTGGTGTTTTGGGATTCTTAGGATATAGTCCCAGAAGTGGGAATCACTGGGTCAAAGATCAGTTCCATTTTTAATTTTCTGAGGACATTTCATACTGTTTTCCACAGTGGCTGCACCTGTCTATATTCCCATATTGGGAAAAGTTTAATTAATTTTTAATAAAATCTATTCTAGGTTTAATTACTTGGGTGGCTAGGTAGATAATGGTACCATTGACAGAGAGAATTCAGAAAAAATAGGTTCTAAAGAAAGATTAATTTGGTTTGGGACCAGATCTATTAGATAATGATATTCAGGTAGAAATATTTAGTGGGGGATTAGATATACTTATTTGTCCCCCAGGGGAAAACTCTAAATACAGAATTACGAATCAGCAATATGAGGCTTGGGAGTGGATGACAATACTAGCAAAAGTACTGGTAGAATGAGAGGAAAGCCAAATATATAAAAGTAATATTGGGGGGTACCAGTGTTTAATGGATGGCAGGGAGCCTTGAAGTTTTCTGTAAAGGAATAACCAAAGAGGAAATCCAGATAGAACAGTGTTCCTGAGACAGATGGAAAGAGCACTTAGACAAAGGAATATTGGCAGTATATGAGACAGGCGGAGGATTGGGCTGGACCAGATGGAAACTGGAGCCTCATGGTGTTGGCAGGTAGGAGGCTGTGTGTGATGGTGGGGAACCGCATCATTGGACAGCTTAGGGGCCATCTGTAAGGTCAGAGTGAACAGGAGCTGAGGAAGTTGATGGGAGAGTTTAAACCATTCTTTCCATTGCTAGCATAGAAAGAGGGCCAAGAAGGACACGAGCTAGAGGAAAGATCCTCCTAAAGTGAGAGAGGCCTTGCCAGCCATTTTCTTGTCTTTTAGAACAGGTCTAATTTCTACATGATAATTTTTCCAGTGTTTGAAAACAGCTGCTGTGTACGCTTGGAAACTTCCCTTCTCCTAACTAACACTCTAAATCACGTAGACACCTCCCAGTTCGTATGCTTGTAGTCACTTGGTACGGTTCTTCTCTGAGTCTACTCTGATTCTTCTTCAAGGGTGGACATAGGACTCCAGTGCGACCTTGACTATTGAGAAGCAGCCAGAACTACACACGAGGTTACATCTCTCTGTTGACTTACATTGAGCTGTCAACCAAACCCCCCAAGTTTCATACTTGCTTCTGCTACTCACAAGACCTTACCTCTTCCATTTTACTCCCAAAATTATTCATTTGGTACCAAATTTATTTTCTAATTTTTCCCCCCTTCTGTGGTATCTTTTTAGATTTGGTCCAGATTATTGAAATCTTCTTAAGGTCTTGTTCTGTTATCCAGCAGAGGCAGTTAAGATAGAAAGAGGTCTAGGTTTGAAGTCGGAGACTGGTTTGTCCTGGTCTGCTTCTTACTAATTGGATAACCTTGGGCATATCACTGAGGGCGTTGTTTTTTCCTGGACAAAATTGGAATGGTCATGCCTACATCTCAGATATTTGGTGAGCAATAATTGAAATAATACATGAGGTTCTAGCCCATAATCTGCAAGTGCTACCTTTCATAGGTTGGATTGTTATTTTCAAACACATACGTTCATCTAAATTGTTAATAAACTTTTGATTATTAGATTGTGTTATTAAGAATTTGATTATTTCATTGTTCTTCCACTTTTATTTCTTCTGAATGGTTAGATTGGGGGGGAACACTTACTAAGGATAAGACTTTAAATCACTCAAGTAGTTTTTTCATTTTGGGGGAAGAACCATTTTTCTTCAACTAAAGAAAGTCAATAGGGGTCAGAATATGCAGCAGACTTAGGTGGACTCCTAGATAAGGCTAATATTTGGAGGGAAGAGGTGAAGGGTAAGGCAACTAAGAATTGATTTTCTAACTGGGAGTCCAGATGAGAATTTCAGGGAGTGCAGCATGTGTAGAATGGCTGGTGAGACATTATGTTTACTTTTATTTCATGTGCTTTATTTACAAGGACCGCATAAGGGTAACACTAGGTGTGGGGCAAAAAGGAAATATGGCCTCCCAGCCCCCAGCCTCACCTGTGCACCTTTCCAGTGCTGTTCGCTGTTCTGTCTCTGATTTTACTTGCCATTTAAACACAGAGTGTGGAGGAGCTTACACACCATAGCCCTCGTTACCTTGCTTTGCACTCCATTTCCCACCCAGAGTTCATCAGGGCCATCAACAGTGTTTCATTTGCTTGAAGGTGCCTTACTAATTCTTTGGCCTTTTAATTATACTTGTTGTTGACCAGAGAAGGCATTGAATAGATACACTCTGCCAGAAATAAAGACAGGAACATATTAAGTGTCTGAACATATTAAATTTAGAAAGTTTTTAAAAATTTGATGGGGCCAAATGAAATTATTGAGAGAGATAATTTGTCAGTTTGGCAGTTGAGTTTAAAGAGTATATTTCATCTGTGGTTTATATACCTCAAAGGACAGGGGCCTATTTATTTCTGTGTTTATCATACTGACTTTATCATAAGTTACTCTGATTACATATGAAACAGGAAACAAATACGGGTGAGAAGTTTTCCTGGAAATTGGTTTTAGCCTTAGTCTTTAGTCAAAGGATCTTAAACTAAGGCCTTAAATTAGTCACATTTGACCAGAGAATGCTCCTACACCTAAGGGAGCACCAGGAAAGGGCTCTCTGTGAGCCTCAGCAGCAGTGACAGATGACATTCCTGGAATTTCATTCACAAAAATGGTTCTTCTGAACTGTAAGAGATGTTTTATTTATCAGCATTGGGGCCTGTGGTTTTGATGAGAAAGGACTTTAAGCAGCTAGAACTCTGGAGAGTATTGAACATGGGGCTCTAGTCCTGTCTATTACTGACACTGGGGAGTCAGTCCTTCACTCCCCAAGAGGGAGACTGTCCTGCATAAAAAATTCTGTGAAGTTCCACGTTTTTGAAGGAGCTCATCATATGGATTGTATTATAATTTCTTATAAACGATTTTCTGAGAGTTTCTACAGTTTTTTTGCAATCACTTAAAAATATCCTCTTTATAGCTTTTTTCACAAAGTATTAAGTAGAATAACTAATAACGAGAACTGCTTTTGTTTGAACATCAGCTGATCCAGCTTCAGTTAACTGTGTTTCATCAGTGTCTTTCTCTGTACAGCTGTTACATTTCAAAGCCAGCAGTATTTGACTCTTAGTGTATTATGTAATAACGAGCAGTTAGAGCTGTAGAATTGTGTTATGTTCCTCTCTATGTTAATATTGGGAAAGAGGAGCCAAGAAAACCAAAGTATTGAATATTGATATTAAATACAAAGAGATTATAATTAAATGTAATAAGTGGTAAATGATACCTGTTAGACTCTCAGTTTGTTACTATAAATGTAATTTTCTAAAAATTTGTTTTACTTTTAGGAACAGCAACTTTTGATAGTCCTAAGTAATTGCTGCTACCTGCAACGTCACACGTTCCTAAATATAGCAGAACATTTTGAAAAGCACAACTTCCAGGGAATAGAGAAAATAACACAGGTAAATGAATTATGTTAAATGGACAAGTTGGTTGTTTTATCAGTTTAGTTTCCACACTTTTTTCTCAGCACCCTTTCTTTTGCTTTCCTGTTCTTTCCTTGTCTTGCCCGCCCCACACCCACATTCCTTCGGCCGCTTCATCCCACTCTGTCTTTATGCGATTCCCGTCCTTCTCATAATTCACCTGGAATAATTAATTTAATACTCTCTTCTTTCCTCAAGAGCAAAGTTCCTCAAGGTTAGAGCTGATTTATTCCCCACCTAAGGTACTCAAAAGCGAGGAAAGAAAATAATGACCGACAGGCATAAAACCCAAACCTTTAAGAATCATCTCGAATTTGGCTCCTTTTAGGTTAAAATGTTTACTTAGAGCCAACAGCAGACGCCCTGAGCCTGCAGGAAAAACCTCTCCCCGCCTGTCCGCACTTTCTCCCCTCTCCCTCTCCCTCTCCGCGTGTCTGCAGCGATGCTTGCGCTTTAGTCCTTGAGCAGCTACGAGGTGCTTGAGCACGGACACGTGCGCGCCCGCACACACACGCACACTCAAGCACACTCATGCGCACGTGCGCACACTCACGCACGAGGCAGGCTCACAGCAGCTGTGGGAGGCTTAATGTCTTGCTTAATATTTTACCTGAAAAACACATACTCTCCACACTCCTCCTTCGGTGTAGCGAGGTTGAACAGAAATGACCCTGTGTCAGTGGAGAAGGGCTTCAGAAAGCCCTGTTTTGTTGTTTGTGTTGTTAAGTAAGCAGAGAAGGAAAAAATGAAGCAACCCTGTTATTAAAGGTTAGTTGGTTCCTGGGCAAAAGTTTATCAGATTTCTAAGTAAAACTAAGCTGGAACCACTTTTTAATGTCAGTACAGTTTTCTCAGTGCAAAGAATGAGAAAGATAATGATCTTGTTAATCTTACAATCAAATGTACTCTTGATTGATTACATGCTTTTTACAAATGATGGTTCCAGTTCATGAGCTTGATTGGGATTTTTTTTTTCAAAGAATGAAAATATCAAAGTGGGTGGCTCTGTCTTGCTTTCCTGTCTTTTCGTAAAGATTAATCATTCTGATGAGAAATGTTGTGACTTAGGCTGTAGCGCCAAAAGTCGAGTTTATTTCCAGAAATTTTTGTGTGAGAATTGTAAGTTGTTCTCTTGCAGTAAAAAGTGGACACTTTGTTTTTATGCAGCAACAATAATGACACCAATATATTTCTTGAACTTTTAATCATTTAAAAATACATGAAATGAATAGGAATTACATATAGCAGAAACAGTAAGTTTGGTTTTCTTTAGGTTTTTAAAGTTATAAATAGGAACTATCTGTTGTTTCAGTTTATATCATTAAGAAGTAGAATGAAAGTGACATATAAATAGGCTTAGATACTGTCACTAGTCTTTGTAATCATTTTGAGACCAAAGTAACATGAAGGAATTGGGGGTGCAGCTTAGAATAAGCGGTAGGTTATTTTTCTCATTGAAAATTTTTTAATTGACCAGTGATATTTGAGATTATTCAGTTGTGTAAATAGTGAACTAGATTTAAATGATAGCATTTGTATTCATTCGGTTTGTTATGAGTAAATTCATTAATTACATGTTGCCAACCAAGTAAAATATATTTTTACGTTAAGGGAGAAAAGGTTGCCTACTGCTGCTGTTTTTCACAATCTGTTTTCAAATGACAGAGAGCTCTAGAGGCAAGATCCCTGAAAAGTCAGGGCATGCAGGTCACATGAGTTACTGGCACCCGCTCTTTCCCTTTGGAGATAAAGGCTCACTGTGGGCTTCTTGCTGAGTGCCACTGGACACTAGACATTCTCTCAGGTCTCCTTCCAGGTATGAGCTGGTGGTTTGCCAAGGCTTCATCTGGGCTAATTTTCTCCTGCTTTCTCATTGGTACTTCTGGTTACCAGTAGAAGGAAAATGACCAGGTGTTAATTCCCTAAATCTTGTTCCCCATCTTCAGAAGTAAAAAGAATTTTAATATGGAATAGTACACAGATAACCAAGTGCTGGTTAGGAGTTTATTAAATTTAGTGACCAATGATCATTTAAAGCTGGAATGATTTCCTATATATAGTTATATTTGATTCAAATAACCCTGTGGAGTAATTAAGGTATTAGCATATTAACTCCATTTTGTTCATATAGAAAGTTGCTCAGAGAAAGCAATGATTTGACCTATTTAGTAGCAGAGTAAAGCAGGACCCAACATTAAGTTTTCTCATTTTAAATCCAGAATGCTTTCTGGCCCAGCACCATGTATCTTAAAGTAAATAACAAAATTGCTCCCATGGAAATGCACCAAAGGAATAGGAAAATTGTAGTAGCTGTAATTATATAATTCCAAGGAAATTTTTTACATATATAAAATTCTATTTTAACCTGTTTTAGTCTTTATAAAGCAAACGTCCAATTTAGAGTTTGATAATTGTAGATTTTCAGTTTACTCGGGACTGTAGTCATTAAACAAGTCTGTCATTAAATTCTTGATTGAGGTTTTGCTCCAACATGGGGGTTGGAGGAGGGCAGTTTTCTTTTTGAATACTCCCAGGGAATATTCTTTACCTACAGCAATCAGTTTTAAAGATTTTTGTGTCACTTGAACCATATGTGCTATATTTTCATATTTGATTATGTTTAGCTTAATTGTATATAATTCTTAAATTTTGTATCAAACCATTTGAATTCACAGATATGAATGACTATAGCTTACATCCTCACTTTGTTTTATTTCTCCCATCTCTTCATAATACAAATTAGCTAAATTTTGTTTAGAGGCTATTTTAATAAAATAAATTAGTTGTAAATTAATCCATTTCGGAATTTAAGATCTACGGGCAGGAATTATAAATTGGTTAGATGTGTCCCTGCCTACTAAATACTGAATTTAAGTTTTTGTTAAATTTTTATTTATTGGTTTTAGAGGAAGGAGGGGTGGAGGGGGGGAGAGAGAAGGAAAGAGGGAGAGAAACATCGATTTGTTCTGCTTATTCATGCATTCACTGGTTGCTCTGCTTTTTTTTTTTAATCCTCACCTGAGGATATTTGCATTGATTTTAGAGAGTGAGGATCATTGATATTAGAGAGAAGGGAAAGGGGAGAGAGAAAAAGAGATGGAGAGAGAGAAAGAGAAACATCAGTGCCTCCTGTATGTACCCTGACCAGGGATCCAACCCATAACCTAGGTATGTGCTCTGACCAGGAATTGAACCCGGGACCTTTCAGGGCATGGGACCATGCTCCAGCCCATTGAGTCACACTAGCCAGGGCCACTGGTTGCTTCTTGTATATGCCCTGACCGGAGAGGAGATCGAACCCCAAACTTTGGCTTATCGCGACAGCACTCTAACCAACTGAGCTACCTGGCCAGGGCTGAACTTAATTTTCAACCCTATTTAGTGGCCTGGAGTCCCTTGTGTAAATGGGAAGGGGAAGAAGGAAACAGACAGACATAAAGTGATAGTACAGTATTAAGGACCCAAAGACCTTATAATTTATAAATTATGTAATTTATAATGTTGCTTCCCCAATACAGAAAGTAATTCAGAAAAGCTTTCCCAAATCAAGGAAGGATATAAGCTTTCACATAAAAGGTGGTGTTGCAGAGATGAGAGAAAGGCTCTAAGTCTCTTTGGAAAGTTAGGGAGGTTTAGGAAGTAAATAGGGAAAACCATTGGTTCACCAGTCCTGCAGCATGATGTGGGATTGCTACATCAGAAACCTTGAACTTGAGCAGATAAATTCCTACGCCTTAGATAGTTGTCTTTCACCCTCCCTCTGCTATTCCTCTTCCTGGGCTGCACTTTGCTCCCCCGCACACTCTATGCAGTTTCCGTAGGAGACCTCATCCTCTCCTGCTGCTTCATTTATCATCCAGGCCCATGATTCCCAAAATATTTATGTTTAACCTTCTTAGCATTCCTAGGATTCAGTTCTATTTCCTACCAGACATCTTCATCAGAAGTTTCTACTGTGATTTCAGATCAACTGGCCCAAACAAAAATAATATTTTTTCTTCAAATCAGCTTCTCTTTATCTGCTTTCTGTCTTAGCCAGTAGTTGCTGAATGAGCAGGCCAGGCACCTGGCAATCGTTCTTGACTCCATGCCCCACGAGGGTTTATGCTGAGCCTTCTCAGTTCAGCCCGGAACCGTCTTCTGAACCTGACTCCGCCTCTCCCATTTGCTCTTCCTGTCTAAACTCAGTCCTCTGTCACCACTGTGCTGTTGTAGGAGCCTCCCTCCCAAATTCTTTGCTTAATCTCTCAATTCTTTCACTCTCCAGCTCGTCATCTGTGGATGGGCTTTGAGAGGTACAGGCCTGGCTATATTGCCCTTTCTCCCTCCCGCAGGTCAGTGCTCCTCTCTGTCTGCAGAGGAAAACCTAAGTCCCTTAGGCTGGCGGTTGAACAGTTGGAACCTTTCTCCCATGGCACATCTCCCCTGCCTGCCCCCC